TGCCAGTACTTTGCCTACTCACTTGTAGCCCTTCATCACTCGTGTCTGAGGCAGAAAACAGGTAGGAGGAATAGACAATATGAGAGAGACAGACTGAGAAGTCTAAGTGGGGATATTGGGAGCCAGTGGAGGGACACAGGGTTTTTTTTTAGGGGAGAGGGGACATTGTCCTACATTATATTCCTTATTTTACAGACTTAATGCCCCTCATTGTCCTTCATGCTAGGTGCTTCTCAAAAGGTATGCTCCCAGTTACCTGTGTGCTAATTAAGTCCTTTCCCCTGCTTCTCCCTCCCCTGTACAAGAGACCCTATCCATTCTATTTTTGTTTTCTTCTCTATTTCCTCCCCCGTACCAAAACCCAGTCAGAACTCCATGATGCCTCTAAACCCTTTTGCTAGTTCCCTCAGTCTGTGTACTAACTCCCTCCTGACCCCCAACAGATGAACATTCCTAGGTAACCCATCTCTGATTGATAGTATCCCAATTTAATGGGGAGCCAACAGGTGGAGGCAGAGTATGAAGGGTATATGCAGGAAATAAGGGAGTTTTCTTTCAGTGGTGAGGCAAAACAGGGCAGGCAGGACTCCAGGTACGAGTCCTAACCTGTTGTGGTTCTCCACTGATAGAAACCATATCTAATCTTCATACTACTGCCCCCACTTGGAAAACCATGAGAACAAACAGTTTTGAGGGGTGTGGTGGCCATTTTTATAAGGGTTAATCGGTCACTTGTTTAGAATGAAAGAATCCAGTATGCTGAATGCTGTAATGCAATTGGATTATTTCATATTGAAAAGGTATGACACTTTTCATAAGCCTACAGGCCTACACTATTTTAGTTTGTAAAAAGGATTATATGTGACTTCAAAGGTGCATTGAACTAGTTGGAGATTTCTTAGTTTGTCTTTTGAGGTGGGTGTTTGACACTTAATGAAACAGACAGAGGAGTAACCTGTGCAAATGTACAAGCAGTGATCGCTCTACTGCTCTCACTATCAGAGCTGGGTGAAATATGTCAGTTCCCATACACACAGGTTGCAACACTCCTTTTTGTCGGGCTCTACACATGGTTTCACATCTCTTGAAGTTCCCTTTGAACAGTCGAGTTTGTAAAACATCCTGTCAAGGAAAATGAAGCAAGTAAAAGATTATTGGAGTTTGGGATGACTCTGATTTACACATAAATATAAATGATTTGTTTAATTAAAAATTTGCGTAGGAAAAATTATCTAAATGCATAGTCATAAAATTCTTTTTAAAAACCTATAAAATATCACTTTGCACTCATTACAGACTAGAACAGTCAAGATATGCATAAGGCTGCACTGCAATTGCATGACTACATTTCTGTGACCTTTATGCATTTGCACCCCATCTACTGCCTACTCGTCACCCTTGCTAATCACAGCTAAGAATCCTGCAAGTACTTTTGCACATAAATAACTTTACTTGTGTGAAGGGTTCCAGTAAATTCAGTGGGATTCTGCATGTGTGTGTAAAGTTAATCTGTATAGGTGTTTGCAGAATCCAAACACTTTTCTGGCACAGATCACGTCTCTTTTTGTCTGCTGTGAAGCACCTAGCACAATTTTGGGTGCAGTAAAATAAATAATAGTAGAATAGAGAAAACATGACACAATAGGGTAAATATAATATATATTGAAGGATGTGCCGTATCCAAAATCCTTCCTCTTACTGTAGCAACCTTTCCTCATCCCCTAACCCCTTCCACACACACAAGGACAGCCTGTCAGCAAAATGTAATATTGATTTCTATGAAAACGGAGAGAGCACATTATACTTATATACTCTATAATGTTATCCCCCCTAATAATTATAATCAGATCATGTTATAATTCTACCATTTATCTTTCTTTTTTGTATGCTTGTCTTAGTATTATGGCTGAAGAGTCTTTGTAGGGCATGTGAACTTAGCTTTGAACCATGATGTATTTCTGAGGAACTACAGCATATCCACACCTATCTGGTTAGTTGTCAAAAGTTTGTTCTTGTTTCCTGTTGACTTACAGGAGGAGAATGCACACATACAATTATAGCTTAAGAGGATATCTGCCTTTTTGCAGGGTATAATTTTTCACTTACTTTGCCTAGTAATCACTACTTTATAAAAAAATAATTCATTTGAACCCAACATAACGTAATGGTGAGTTCCATTAAGCTCTCTATATTCTATAAGATTTCACAAGAGTCCACAACAGTTCATTTCACTCCAAACAGAGACCAATTTCTCAAGTTTCATTATGAAATCATAGCAAAATTATGAAACTCACAAACCTGTTAATGTTGCTGTGAGTTTCAGAAAAATATTGGCAGTCCCAAATGTCTACTAATGTAATTTTGTATCTAGTATTGGCAGTTTTTCATATTATTTAGGTTGCATTGTGAAAAGTTCATACAGCTCTGGGAATATAAGAAAATAGGAATTACCATACTGGATCAGATCAATGGTCCATCTAGTCCAGTATCCTGTATCTGATAATGGCTCATACCAGCTGCTTCAGAGGAAGGTTCAAGAAATCTTGCACCAGATAATTGTGGAATGACATCCACAAAGTGAAAAATTATCCATAAACCTCATTAGTTCGAATTTGGCTTATACTCTGAAGCATCTGTACCTTCCAAATTTTTATTTTGTTTGTTTGTTAATCTTTACCAGTAACACTTTTGGGTGCTCTGGTACAGTGGCGTAGGCAGGGTCTAAGTGTAGGGGGAGCAAACAGAAAAAAGGCGCTCCCCCTTGGCTCCTCCTCTGGCCACGCCCCCTTGGCTCCTCCTCTGGCCACGCCCCCCTTGGCTCCTCCCATTTCCCCGCCAGATTAACCCCGGGGCCCGGCTCGGGACTCCTGCGGGCTTCCCGGGGGTGCGGATACCCCCGTCCCCCCGCGGTCCCGGGAGAGTCTCTCCTGCCCAGCCCACTCTGCAGGTGTCCCCCGCCAGGCTGCTCCGCCCGGCCCCACCCATCCCCCCCGCCTGGGGCTCCAGGTTCCTGCGCCGCGCCAGGGCCCCCCGTCCAGACAGCGTGGCCTGTGCCCCTGCCCTGCGGGCCTGGCCCCGGGGAGCCCCTCGCCCGGAGGGGACCCCTCAGTGCAAGGCACCGGACTCCCGCCGCTCACGTTCTGTTCTGCGCCGCCACCTGTCCTCGGCCGATCCTGGCCCCGGCTCCGGGCGGGGAGCGCTTGGCCTCCGAGCCCTGAGCCACCGCAGGAGATGGCTGCGCCTGCGGCGATGTTGGGGCCGCGTGGGGCGCGATGGCCGAGGAGCTGGCCCCCTCTTATAAAAAGGAGCAGGCGCCGCTTTTGGGAAAAGGGGTGAGGGGAAGCGGCTGCTTCCCCTGCACCCCGCTAGCTACGATGCTGCTCTGGTATCCATAGAGAGAGCTAATCCTTTTTTGAATCCAACAAAGCTCTTGTTCTGAATCATAACTGATGGCAATGAGTTCTGAAGATCAACTGTGCTACTCTCTATTGCAAATATCATTTGGGATACTTCAGGTTCAGTGTCTTCTGGGTGCCAGTGCTCAGCCTGTGAAAAGCTGCTGTATGTAGCACTATGTCTGCACTGCAATAAAAAAAACCATGGCACTGAGTCTTTGAGCCCAGGTCAGCTGAGACCCAACCCCCTTGCGGGGTCTCAAAGCCTAGGCTTCATCCCAAGTTCAAAGGTTTACACTGCAATTGTATAGCCTCTCAGCCCATGAGCCGAAGTCCGCTAACCTGGGCCAGCTGTGGCCATGCCATAGGTCTTTTATTGCAGTGAGATGTACCCACCAATTTTGCAGAGTCTTCAGTGGTGGTGGTGATCTCTGTAGTCTCTTCACTTTTCTGTTTAGAAAGGCAGAGAGAAAATGAGTTCACACCAAACCATACCCTTTTCATTCAGAAGACTGCTCCATTAGTATCTCAAGAGCAAAAACATGTATACTGAACAAAAGAGTGGATTTGGAAAGGAAAATGTGTTGTATTTCTATTTGGTAGGACTTGACTCAGTGTGTTGTAGAGTGCAATTACTTATTTCTTAAATCAGATGATTTGTTTGGACATTTTAAATGAGGGTTGGACTGAAACTGCTGGCAGTTAATTTACCTAGACTTTGAGAAACTGACAAGAACAACACAATAAATTATCTGCATAGGCAACAATTTTGTTTTTAACATTGGCTACTTTCTACTTACATAAAGCCAGTGTCTTGTAATATTAACTGAAGTGTGTGGGTTTGGGGTTTTTTTTTTTTATTTTATTCATCTCTCTTATATATAGTCAAATGCTTTTGATTTATTCACAATGAAGCCTGCAAAAGATAATGCTTTCTTGTTTCTCTGCTGGTTATAATCCCCTGGCATATATTTGTGTCTGCTTATTGAACATTTTAGTTGTTAAAACAATGCTTAGAGTAGTTTGTTCTGCTGAAATCTAGCATTAGTTGACACTTAACTATTTTTATATTGCATTCCTGGTTAATGGTTTTGAGAAAATAACCTTTATTACTAATATCGTTTATCTAACATAGTTGAAGTTCAGCAGTTGGGAACCTTTGTACACTCTTATTTCAAAGACTGGTGGTCAGAGAGTCTTTGTCAAGGGAAAGGAATTAGTTGGTTGGCATTAATATTAATGTAATATATTTTCAGATGGTGTTTGCAGAAATTCTATCACACACTAAGGGCAGAGGCAAAGTGCTGCTCATGCCTGCTGCTGTATGTTTGTTGTGGGGAGGGAGGATAGGAAGTGATCACAAAGTGCTTCTTTTGCATAACACGGCACCCCTAGAAATAAGTACAGAGTGAATCATATGGACAGTTTTGTTTCTTATCTCATCAAGAAGAAAAGGCCTAAGCAAAAAAGAACAACTTGAGAAAGGGTTGGGGAGAGAGGGTGGAAGAACAACACAACACCAACTAACCAACAAACCTGTGGTAGAGTGCAAAAACAGTCATGAGAGATAAATCTGTTTCTCTTTTTTTCTTCTTCTTTTAATAGTGCGGCTTCATGACAGCATATCAGAAGAAGGATTCCATTACTTAGTCTTTGATTTGTAAGTATATGCCTTGTGTATGCTTGTATAACAAAAACACACCGGGGACCTGATGTTCAAAATTGTTAGGAGCAAAAATAAGCTCATAAAATGATGTGCATGCACATGGCCAGGATGATGCATAACTGATCAGTTGTGTGTACACATCTGACTTGTATATGTCACTGTGATAACAGCATGTGCAGAGCTTTGCATATCCAAATGTTGAAAACCCTCCTCAATGTATTTTAAACATCAGCTTAAACTAACACCAAACTGCTATATGTTTTGAAGTTATTAATCACAGTTGTGATTTTTCCCGCCATAGCTGTAGCTGCTTAAAATTCTGTTCATTTTAAATTTGACTTTTAGCAAGTTTAATAAAGGATTTTCTTCTTGAAATTTAGTAAAGGATTTTCTCATTATCTCAGAGCAAACTAGCCCATCCTGTGATTACTATTTGTGAATTTTACAATTACTATTAGTGTATAATATGTAATATATTAGTCATATAACAAAATGTTATCAGTTCTGTACCCTGAATACTCTATTATAGATGGGACTGGTAGTGTTACCTGTCATTAAGGTTGCCCGACACTTCATGTTAAAAGATCCTGTTTTCAGTTGCTGATAACTTTGCCAAACGTGAACCATTCAGGCTGAAATTTTCTATGCTGGGAGTCTACCTCAAGATGAATTTTGAGGGAGAATTTTAGCCAAAACAGTTCAGATGTTTCTGAGAGTGAAACTAGGGGAAAATATGTTGTGGTGTTCATGTTTAAAAAAATTCTGGCAACCTTTTATTTTTGTTTGAGAAATTCTAGTTCCTCCATGCTTTGAAGCAGATGCTTGAAATTTTGAAGGAATTTTGAAGGAGATAGGGATGTGCCATCCCTGTGGCAATCCATGAAAATTTGGCCAAGGTATTCGTTTTTGAAAAATTTCAGTTTGCACATGCTCAATAGAGACTTGCTGGAGCTTTTTAACTAATTTCCCTGAATCCATGCATGCTGGATATGCTCCAGCCAGGGCTGCTGCTGGCCAGTCTGGGACCATGCACCAGAACTGAGAGCAGTGAGACTCTCTCGCCTGTATTTTCCCTGCTGAACCCAGGCAGTGTGGAGGAGGAAGCTGCTGCCTGACTCAAATGTAGAGGGGACAAGAACTGGACTTGAGGGTGGGTCTGGAGATCCTGGGACTTAGTCTGGCCAGGGGGAGGGAAACTGGGACCTGTCGTTGAGAATGGTTGGAACTGAGCCTGGATGGGCAAGGAGAGTAGGACAAGTTGTTGGGGGAAGTACACTGAGGTTGGATGAGGAGCCCAGGGATGGATACTGGAGTGGAAGTCAGTAGGGATGAGATCCATGGGGACAGGCATTGGAGGCAGGTGGGAGAGCGACAGATCAGATGAGGATCTGGGAAGTGGGATGGGAACTGAGAATGGCTGGGCAAGAAAACTGGAAGTGAGGGAGATTGGAACCAGAACAGGGAGTTCAGATGGGTGAGAATAGGACTTGCTCAGCAAGGCGACTGGGGCTGGGATGACAAACCTCAGCAGTGGAGACTAGGACTAGTTAAGTTAGGAGAGTGGCACTGGGTGAGGAGCCAGGAGTGGGGAAGAAACAGGACTCGGACAGGAACTGGTTGGAGGGGACAGAATAGAAGGGACCAATCTTGAGGGGAATGGGTAGAAGAATCATGCCCACTAGAGCACATACCCCACCAGAATCTGGAATGGAACCCAAGATGCCTGAGTCTCGCCATTCCTCTGCTGTCAGCAAATGTCTGTGAAACCCACTGGCAAAGTGCATGTCTCATCCCCCTCTAGTGCTGATCCACATAAAGGATGACAGCCTACTACTGCTATCGGTTACTCTGTTAGCTTGAATGGCACAGGTCTGTGCAACAGAAGCTACTGATGTCCATATGCTATATGATGGAATTTCTGTATTTTCAGTTTGTGTTTTTAAAACCTAGGAAATTACACCCAAAAAACCTGTGTTAAAAGAATGTTATTTAGATTGCAAAGTCAAGCACTCAAATTTAGGAAATGCCAAAATTAAGGTTGCCTGTGGAGCTCTACCTAATTCAGCCACCTTGTGTGTGTACATTATGTGATGTAGTGCTTAATTACATGATCATGTACTATTTTTTTCCACAAGATCACTGCCTCATTCAGTGCACACGATGGACATGCTCTGGAGACAAATCAGTGTTGTTCAGTGAATGAGGCTGTGTTCTTTGAGACCCCCAGCTTCATTTGTTGCAGAAATTGGAAAGTTTGTAATGAGTGAGGCAGGGATTGTAGGAAGAGAGAGAATGGTCTCATGGTTAAAGCAGTTCAGTGCTGCCCTGGAGAACTGCATTCTGTCTCTGCGTCTGCAGAGAATTCCTATGTGATGCTACACAAATCTGTTCAAGCAAACTTTTCATAGACGGACACTAATTCCTCTTTTTCTGGTTGCCTGACTTGAGACTGAAAGTCTGATTTGCAGAAGTGCTGAGCACTCACTGCTGCAACTGAAGTCAATGGGAGCTGTGCTTTGAACATATGAAGTAGTATTATAGCGCTATGTACTTTGAAAAAGAATGACTTCTTTGTTTCGGTCTTCACCGAGAAGTCTGAAGGAATGCCTAACATAGTGAATGCTAATGGGAAAGGGGTAGGTTTAACAGATAAAATAAAAAAAGAACAAGTTAAAAATCACTTAGAAAAGTTAGATGCCTGCAAGTCACCAGTGCCTGATGAAATGCATCCTAGAATACTCAAGGAGCTAATAGAGGAGGTATCTGAGCCTCTAGCTGTTATCTTTGGAAAATCATGGGAGACGGGAGAGATTCCAGAAGACTGGAAAAGGGCAAATATAGTGCCCATCTATAAAAAGGGAAATAAAAACAATCCAGGAAACTACAGACCAGTTAGTTTAACTTTTGTGCCAGGGAAGATAATGGAGCAAGTAATTAAGGAAATCATCTGCAAACACATGGAAGGTGGTAAGGTGATA